GCGCCCCCCTTATGGTAAATTAAAAATAAAAAATAAAATAAAACGAAAATATTATTTTATATTTTTTTATTTTAATGAATATATAATAAATAAAAATGATATTTATTTTGAGACGACTAAATAATGATTCTTTCATGGTGTCTATGTCACCCAGATCTTGTATAAAATTTATTATCTGAAATATCATCGGTGACATCATGACAACTAATTCTCAAGTATGAACTACTCAATGTAAGTAAAATCTGAATATTTAATATTTTGGGAAATATTAGTTAAGGCATTTGATCATGAAAATATAACATATATATTTTATTTAAAATAAAAAAGTTCAAAGTCACAAGCAAAAATAATAAGTTGTTCGTTTTTTATTTGATTGAAACACATTTTTTTTTAAAAAAAATAATAAGTTGTTCATTTTATTATTTTGTTGAAAAACATTTTTTGTTTTAAACTAATCGTAAATAATTTTGTTTTCTAATACAATAATTCAATTGTTATAGTCATCAACATCATATATTTATTGCTAAGTCACCATACCACGTCTCAACAAATCTAAGCTGTCACCATTATTAATATTTTATTTATATTCATAAATATTCAACTTGGAGATAATAATTTTATGCCCCAAAGTTCAACTATATAAAGACTTCCGTTTATAATTCATTATTCATCAAAAAATTTCAATAATACTTCTATTTCTATATTTGAGAACAATTTTATTATATTTTCTTTTGAAAAATGGGTTTAAAAGGAAAGTTGATTTCCGAAATAGAAATAAAAGGTTGTAAGGATTTATTTCATGAAATATTTTGTGAAAAACCACACCATCTTCCAAATATTGTACCACAAACTATTCAAGCTGTTGATTTACATGAAGGTGATTGGGGTACTGTTGGCTCCGTTGTAAATTGGAATTATACTATCGGTAATATTTTCATTTTGATTAACGATTATTTATAACAGTTTTTCTCTATTTATAATCGAAAAATAAGACTCTAAATAAAGCGTTAAACATAAAGGATTATTTGTGTACCAAACAACAAATTTACTTTTCATTGAGCCAATAATAATATTTATTTGTATTCTTGATTATGTTCATTTATAAATAGAAAATCTCAAAAAATATACATTATATTTGGAGAAAAATATTACATTTAATGTATCATTTTTTTTTTATAAATATGTAACTTTCCATCTCTTTTTTTTTTCACAAAAAATAGAGGGGCAGGAAAAAGTTGTAAAGGTGGTTGTTGATGACATAAACAAGGAAAAAAGGTTAGTGACATTCAAGGCATTTGAAGGTCATTTGATAGAGGAATACAAGGCCTTCAAAGCAACTCTTCATATTGAGAATGAAGGAGATAACAACTTGGTTATATGGACTATTGAATATGAAAAGCAAAATGAAGAAATTCAAGAACCCTTCTCTTATTTGCAATTAGCCACTAATCTAACCAAAGATGTTGACACTCATCATGTCAATCAGTAATATCTATGTTGTTCAGACTCTTTAAATATGTGGACGAGTGTTTCAATAGTAATGTAATTCATCATAAGTGTGGTTTGGTATGTGTTTGAAGAATCACAAAAGTAATATGTTGTGAATAATGGATTTCCATGTTCTCTTTGAAAGAGGTGGTTGCTTGTTGATGTTTGTGGTTCCCATAAAGATGTAGTTTTCTTTGTTGTATTATCATGAAATAAATTGTACTATTTCGTTTCTTCAAGAACAAATTTTATTTATTTGATTTGACTTTGTGATTGAAGTGAGTTGAAACTCTAGGTTTCTCTGTTTTGATAAGATTTTATGTTATCGGAAATTTCAAAAATGCTTAAGAGTAAAAATATAATAAGGTTTCTTTGTTATAGTTTGCTTAATAACGATTTGTAACTACATGTTAGAGTCAGGGTCAACTAGCTCCATACATAACGTCTTTAACAAACGTTCATGAAAAATTTGGACAAAAAAAAACGTTGAAATTTTGGTATACCTACTTTGGGGTTCGTTTGACCTTAAAAATGAGTCGTTTTGACCGTCAAGGCCAAGTGGCTCAATATCTAACGTCTCAACAGACGTCCACAAAAAATTTAGGCGAAAAAAACGTCAGAATTCCGAATCATAAAAAATCCATGGACTATAGCACAAGAAAATCGATAAAATGAGGGGTTTACCTGCTTTGGGGCTCGTTTCACCTTCAGTATGGATCATTTTGGCCGTCAGGGCTATCTAACTCCATAGCTAACGTCTTAATGGACGTCCACAAAATATTTGGTCAAAAGAGACGTCGAAATTCTAGATCTCCAAAAAAGATCGTGGACTATAGCACACGAAAATCGATAAAATAAGGGGTTTTGTAGCTCTGGGGCTTGTTTGACTTTCAAAATGGTCCGTTGTGTCCGTCAGTGCCAACTAGCTCCATTAATAACTTCTTAACGGATGTTCATTAAGAATTTGGGCAAAAAAGACATCGGAATTCCACATCACCAAAAATGCATAGACTATAGTACATGAAAATCGGCAAAATGAGTTATACTTGCTTCATGGTAATGTGATGGACCTAAAATCACGTTGAGGGGACTTGTCTCAACAGGCTTACGAGCTATCAAAACTGATGTGGACTCTGCCAAGTGAAGCACAAATGGGAAGAATATAATTCATATAGGCCATTCCAGCGATTAAAGTCATTCCAAAAGTTCTTTTTTTTGGGTCTTGAAGAAACCTTACCCCAGAACACGAACCAGGTTCGTGTAAATTGCTTTTACGTAAAGACAGAGTAAAGACACAAACATTTACTGAATTAAAAACCTTCCTCACTCAAGGAAGGAAAAACCTTGTTTTATTAATTCAACTATAAGATTTTGTGATTACAACTCAATAATCAAAAAGTCTTATCTCTAATACTCCCTCGATTGACTCCAATCGATCTCTCCAAAAAGGCCAAACCCACCTTTTGTTACAACTCTTACTAACACTCAACCCTACAAAGAGCCAAACCCACCCTTTGTAAAACTCTCAAGACTCAACCCCCAAGAAGTCAAACCCACTTCTTGTTACAAATCTAGGAATTATTACAACTCAATAATAAACCTAGAACAAATCAACAAAGACTAATAACCTTAGACTTTAATTGATCAAACTTCAATATCCAATAGTTCTGAGTAGAACAGGTTTCGTGAACCTGGTCTTTATTTTGCTGTGATGAAGGTGAACCTGGTCCTTGCGTTTCTGTGACGAAGGCCTGCGTTTTTTCTCCAGAAAATACTGCTCTCAAGATGATATATTTCGTGAATATGCAATACCTATTGTTCTGGCTTTGCTGGAAAAATTCTCTATCGATCTTGAAGACTTTTTAAACTTAGCAAATCTATCGATCTTGAAGACTTCTATTCGATGAATAAATCTCTCTTTTCTCTCTGCGTGAAGTCGTCTCTTTCTTCATCATCGTCTTCTTCTTCTTATAGAGTTCCTTTTTCCTTCAGTCCTTATCAGATAAGGTAAGGAAGTTATTATTAAACAAGAATTTCCTTTTAAAGTACAATCCTTATTATATACAACTTCCTTCCTTAATAATATATTTAAGGTTTTCCTTAATAATATCATATAAGGTAAGGAAGTTATTATTAAACAAGGATTCCCTTTTAAAGTACAATCCTTATTATATACAACTTCCTTCCTTAATAATATATTTAAGGTTTTCATTATTTGTATCAACTTATACCTTTAATATATTATTTTTGGCTTTGACAAATAACTCTATTTTCTTGATTACTTGGCTGACCCATTTTACTCGATCTTGGACTCGATTTTGGCTTCTTTTGCTGCGTACATTTGCTATTGATTATTTGTGCTTCTTGTCTATCATCAAAACATGAATTATCGATTCCATCATATTCTATCAGGTCTGAATTCTGATTAAAGTGCATTCTATGCAGAACAAGAAAATATACCTCCCTAATTATTCTTTTGGACTGCTAATTTTCTTCTTCACTGTTTCAATACTAATATTTATTTTTCACTCTTTACTCATCATTTGTGGTAAAAGATGCTTCTTTCAAAGTGGAACATGAACTGAACTGAACTCCTCTCCTCCAGAGTCCGTCGTTCCTCAACTCTTCGCTTCCACAGAATGGGTTCAATCATGACAACCAAAGCTGTTTAAGAGACCATTCAGACAAATAACAAAAATGTGCATCCTCTGGAGAAAATGCAAATACATTAACAAACCCAAATAAATAAATTCATTTGTTACATAATCTTCAACGAAAGACAACATATGCAAATACTAAGTAAGCAGTGAAGTAGGTGAGATGAAGCTCTCTGCATAAACAATTCCTCGCTTAATAGTATCACATTCAGGGCATAAATCAAATGGTCTTCCACTTGTCGTGAAATTAGAACTAAAATATGCAAAGCATTGGAAGTGTAGTAACACTTCACAATCCGCAAACATATACATTGGTCGGGCTGAAAGAAAAAGATCGATATCTTGTATTTTAATAAAGTTAGTCCAAGATTACCTCACACCATAGTCCTTCATTACCCACAACTTAAAAATGCCATTAGTGCTCCTCGATATATTGTTATATGTAGAATAAAAGCAAAGCATTCCTCTCAATACTGAAACACCATGATCGACGAAGAAGTACAGGGGACATAGATCATACATTTGCTTCAATAACGATACCTCTCTATACACCTCATTTGAAATATTTAATGAAACGGTAGTATAATTTCCAGAAGTTGACTTACCAAGCCAATGAAATGCTCCATGTAGAAAAGCCAAATTATTCGTACCACAATCCCTAAAACCACGAACCCGCTGAATGTCAGTAGGATAATCAATTCTTCTCCAGGAACTGTTCCTTTTTATAGAGAGAAATTCAATCGAAATATTGATACTTTTTTTTTCCATTGAGGTTAACTGCAAGGATCTTATGGCCTTCACTAGTTGCATCATATTCCAATCCAAATACATAATTCATTATTCGATATTCTGGATGGGGAAGTAGTATTGATTCTCTTGTGGACGGGTTCCACAACAAAAGTTCTTCATAGAATATTCTGGAACAAACACGAGTAAGAACCAATCCATCTCAAGAACAAAATATTCTGGCATCCACTGGATTGCAGCTTGTAGGCCAATCAAGCTTTTGTTTATCCTCAACCATCGATAAAGAGGAAGTATAGAAGCTAAAGGTATCATCCTTGTTAAGTAACCTTTCGGCAATAAGAAATTTTTTGGAATTTTGGTTATCCCTGTTATGAATATAATTTGTCCTCTTAAAGTAAGGATCGTCAATTAATGAATATAATGTGTCCTCTTAAAGTAAGGATCGTCAATTAATGAATCTCCATCTGGTAATTTGAAGGGCTCTTCCCTGAAAGAAATTCATCAAAACACACACATGGCAGAAAGAAAGAAAGAAAGAAATTCATCAAAACACACACATGGCAGAAAGAAAGAAAGAAAGAAAGAAAGAAATCGGGGATACCTTTGCAAATTTGATTCTTCTTCTTCTTCTTGTGTTGGCATCTGGAAAGATTGAATTTTTTGATAGCTTCTTCTTCTCCATTGCTAAACTTTAGTGTGTTGGTAATAACAAGATTAGCTTTTATTCTCTTAAGAATGGATTTCTTCGCTTTTCTGCTTGCTAAATTTACATGGGCATGGCGACGATGGGAGCACGTACACTTCTCCATCTTCATGAACATTGTCATCGTCTCAACTGCTAGCAGCTAGGGTTTAAGGTTTCTCTTTTTATTTTTCTATATATGATAAATATTAGGAGGGATATATTGGTCATTTTTCAGTCATTGTTATTCCTCACATCACTGGAAGATAAATCTACCAAGACTTTAAAGGTCGGATTGGGGAACCTCTTCCTTCAATCTATGAACATGACATTTACCAGTGGATGAATTTGTTTTTGGATATTGAAATTAGAAATTTCCATCTTTCATGTTATTTGTATGGTTGAGCTTAGAAATAATTTGCTACTTGTGTTGGTGACATCAATACTAGACTGTATCGTCTTTACCTCTCTCTATATAAGTTCTTTTCTGCAGCAAGGTAAGGAATCAACAGAGCTTTCAAGGGGTCAAGACCTTTTTTTTGCCATTGTTTTCATTTTCGTGGTCTAACATGAATTAAGCAGCCAATGTGTCTTATAGTACTGGCCTTTTGTTGCTGACATTTCCGGACACATTGTCATTGCTCAATCAGTTTAGATTAGAACAGCAAAAGATGGTTCTGTCTAAGCTAGGGCCTCTTTGAACTAGAGATATTAATGCTTTTCATAAATGATTGACGCAGGTGTTCAGAAGCTCAGTAGCACCATTCACCATAATGCTGGTTACATTTATTTCCAATCAAGTTACACCACTAACTCAGTAGCAGCTTTTTAGTTACCATGGCCACAGCAGAAGCGAAGTCCAACAAACTGGATATAATCACTCTTGAATTTTGAAAAGGACCATCAATTGGCTACTATTGATGAGGGTAAATCTGAAAAAACACACTCAGCTCCTGTTGTTGGTCATCCTGAGGTATCTGTATCAGCAGGAGCAGGTTCCGGTGTGAAAAGTGTTTGTTATGAGGTGTCTAGTGTTGTATCTGTGGGTACCAGTGTCTTCAATACTGAATCTGTGGATGTCGTAGAGAAGATTCATGGGAGGAGCCTGAAGAGGCAATCAGAGAGAACACTCAATCTTTTATTTCTGATGGTCCAGGGTCATATAAAAGTCTAAGTGGAAAATTAGAGGACACGGGGATTGGTACGGGAAGTCTATCAAGATTAGCAGGTCTTGATAGGTAGTTATCACAAGTTCTAAATGAGTTTTGCTGGCAGCTTTTTGGTTACCATGGCCACAGCAGAATCAAAGTCCAAGAAACTGGATATAATACTTGGTCTGGACTCAAAGGTGAATCCAAAACCTGCCCAAGTGGATGTGGAAAGAGCAGAGTCATTGCACTCATCGATGGCAACAATATTCGGAACAACATTGCTCTAGTGCCATAACAACCTTGCCTCTTTGCCACCACCATCTATGAAAACATCACGTATCAGCAACCGAAGCTGATATAACCAAAGGACAAACGCCTACAAGTTCATATCTGATGGATACAAAACAAGAGTTCAATTGTCCGGTGGACAAAAGCAAAGAATCGACATTGCTCTTGATTTCCTAACGAAAGCTGATAGATGAAGCAACAAGTGCACGCAGAAGCTGTGAATATGGAAACAGGATCAACGTCTCCCAAGTAAGATCAAGATTGAGAAAAAAGAAATGTGAATTAAAGCTCAATTTGAAAAAACCACCAGAAAGTATACCTCCCTTATTATTCTTTTGGACTGCTAAATTTCTTCTTCACTGTTTCAATACTAATATTTATCACTCTTTACACATCATTTGTGGTAAAAGATGGTTCTTTCAAAGTGGAACATGAAATGAACTGAACTCCTCTCCTCCAGAGTCTGTTGCTGTTCAAGAGACCATTGAGACAAATAACAAAAAAGTGCATCCTTTGGAAACAATGCTAATAGAGAAAGAGCTAAGGGGGAGAAAATGCTAATAAAGAAAGACCAATTTATCCTATAAAATGATACAGGACCAGCTCACATAAATCAAGCAAGCTACGAGTCATATCATTCCACTCATCTACAGCTGAAGAATCAACAGTGTACTAATCGTAATATCTATGAACGATTACATAAATAACAATAGGTAATCAATCAATCAGTTTTTAGCAAATAAATCTGAGGAGTCATGAAATAAATAAACTGACAACAGCTTTCATAAATACATTAAGAAACCCAAATAAATAAATTCATTTGTTACATAATCTTCAACGAAAGAAAACATATGCAAATACTAAGTAAGCAGTGAAGTAGGTGAGATGAAGCTCTCTGCATAAACAATTCCTCGCTTAATAGTATCACATTCAGGGCATAAATCAAATGGTCTTCCACTTGTCGTGAAATTAGAACTAAAATATGCAAAACGTTGGAAGTGTAGTAACACTTCACAATCCGCAAACATATACATTGGTCGGGCTGAAAGAAAAAGATCGATATCTTGTATTTTAATAAAGATAATCCAAGATTCCCTCACACCATAGTCCTTCATTACCCACAACTTAAAAATGCCATTAGTGCTCCTCGATATATTGTTATATGTAGAATAAAAGCAAAGCATTCCTCTCAATACTGAAACACCATGATCGACGAAGAAGTACAGGGGACATAGATCATACATTTGCTTCAATAACGATACCTCTCCATACACCTCATTTGAAATATTTAATGAAACGGTAGTATAATTTCCAGAAGCTGACTTACCAAGCCAATGAAATGCTCCATGTAGAAAAGCCAAATTATTCGTACCACAATCCCTAAAACCTCGAATCCGCTCAATGTCAGTAGGATAATCAATTCTTCTCCAGGAACTGTTCCTTTTTAGAGAGAGAATTTCAATCGAAGTATTGATACTTGCTTTTACGTTCAGGTTAACTGCAAGGATCTTATAGCATTCACTAGTTGCATCATATTCCATGCCAAATACATAATGCTTTGTTCGAAATTCTAGATGGGGAAGTAGTATTGATTCTCTTGTGGACGGGTTCCACAAAAAAAGTTCTTCATAGCCCATTTCAGAACAAACACGAATAAGAACCAATCCATCACAAGAACAAAATATTCTAGTATCCATTGGATTACAGCTCGTAGGCCAATCAAGCTTTTGTTTATCCTCAACCATCGATAAAGAGGAAGTATAGAAGCTAAAGGTATCATCCTTGGTAAGTAACGATTCGGCAATAAGAACTTTTTTGGAATTTTGGTTATCCCTGTTATGAATATAATGTGTCCTCTTAAAGTAAGGATCGTCAATTAATGATTTCCAAAATTTTGAAACACATTTGAAGCGAAGAATAGAGCGCATAGGTAACCTGCGGAGGATGTCCATCATTATTTCCTCTTGGAAATGAATTGTTGGGACCTAGATTGGACAATACATGGGAGTATAGGAGTATATCAAAATGAAGAACAAATATTTAAAAACAAACAGAATGGTGGTTTTTTATGTTCAAATTGTATGTACAAATAAAAGTATGTGATATAAGAATTGAAGTTAGAAGTGACCTGATGAATCTCCATCTGGTCATTTGAAGGGCTCTTCCCTGAAAGAAATTCATCAAAACACACACCTGACAGAAAGAAAGAAAAAAAAGAAATAGGGGATACCTTTGCAAATTTGATTCTTCTTCTTCTTCTTGTGTTGGCATCTGGAAAGATTGAATTTTTTGATAGCTTCTTCTTCTCCATTGCTTAACTTTTGTGTGTTGGTAATAGCAAGATTAGCTTTTATTCTCTTAAGAATGGATTTCTTCGCTCTTCTGCTTGCTAAATTTACATGGGCATGGCGACGATGGGAGCATGTACACTTCTCCATCTTCATGAACATTGTCATCGTCTCAAATGCTAGCAGCAGCTAGGGTTTCAGGTTTCTCTTTTTATTTTTCTATATATAATAAATATCAGGAGGGGTATATTGGTCATTTTAGTCATTGTTATTCCTCACATCACTGGAAAGAAGATAAATCTACCAAGACTTCGAAGGTCGGATTGGGGAACCTCTTCCTTCAATCTATGAACATGACATTTACCAGTGGGTTTGTTTTTGGATATTGAAATTAGAAATTTCCATATTTCATGTTATTTGTATGGTTTCGATTAGAAATAATTTGCTACTTGTGTTGGTGACATCAATACTTGTATCGTCTTTACCTCTCTCTATACAAATTCTTTTCTGCAGCAAGGTAAGGAATCAACAGAGCTTTCAAGGGGTCAAGACAATTTTTTTGCCATTGTTTTCATTGGTGGTATGCTGAATAAGTTTAGTGGAGAGAGTGCATTTGCACTGATCAGTCTTCTTGGAGCAAGTATTATGCCTCACAATTTTTACCTCCATTCTTCTATTGTACAGGTGTCCTCACAATTCTGTATTTGCTTCTATCTTTTGATTGTCACTTATGATTCCTGAACTACTGCTTATCCTTGTGACTTAAGTTGGCTTGACCATGATCAGCAAAGTTGCTTAGGTCGACTCTTTAAAGAGATAAAATCTGTTGAAGCAATCCGTGTTTCTGAAGCCTCTATTGTTGTTATGATTTTCATTCTAGAGATCATAATTTTTGTGGTGGATGAGTTTATTTCTTCAGGAAAAAGGAAACCAAACTACAACAAAAAGAGTGTTTTCTCACTTTTTCCCCTTTTAAGGTGGTGGGGTGTGGGGGGAGTGAGAAGGTTAAAGAGCATGTCGAAAATGACCTTGTGTTGCCTTTGCTTTTTCACCTGCACTGAGTCTATCTGTATTATATAATATAGTTATGTGTATCCCAGAGCCGTAAGAGCCAATATTCACAGGGCAAGGGTACTTAGGCATGATTCCAACAGTCTAAAAGTGTAAAATATGTTCAGACATGCTCAAATCATCAATGATGTGTCTTCAACATCCCTTGTGAAAAAAATGATGCGTCTTTGACATTACCAGTGGATGTGGTTTTTTTTGTGTCTTTGACATGATGTTGTTGAGACTATCTTGTTGGAAGTACATCAGATTTACCATTTGGCTTGTCCTGCTTCTCCAGTTCACTACAAGTATAATCCTGTCAAAACTATTATATCCTCTCTTTTTTTTATACTTAAAACATCATTTCTTGTATATGTTATGCCTACATGATACTTTAGTTCAATCTTACTGACTTGATTGCTATGTTGCTCGGACTCTCCAAAAATGCAGCTGCATCTATGCCGGATCCTCTAAAAAGACACTATTTTTTATGGATCCGACACGCACGCAGAGGCATATTTGAAGAGTCTGACCAATATTGTAAATGAATGTTTGTTGATTTGCTTATTTAGTTTGTATAATCCTGTTAGAACTGTTATGTCATTTTCTAGATCATGTCTTGGCTAATTGTAGTTAAATTTATTGGCTTTATGTATGCATACCTCTTTTGGTTTCGTTAGTTAATGCTATGGAAATGAGAGTTCTTTGACTAGTTTGTTGGATTTCGATTCATTTGAGATCCTTAACTGTGATTACAAGACAAATGTGATGGGCACCCTTAACATGTTGGGGCTAGCCAGGAGAGTTGGTGCTAAGTTCTTGCTTACCAGTACAAGTGAGGTTTATGGCGATCCGCTTGAGCATCCTCAAAAGGAAACATATTGGGGTCATGTGAATCCAATAGGTGTGCAACAACTAAGAATCCTGTTGTTTTCTTTTTTGCTTTTTGAAACAAGAAAAATATTTTTTTGAGTTTATTTTAATGATTTTGAGCGTCTTGAAGCACCTAGGTGTTAGTAGCTGCTATGACGAGGGAAAGCGGACTGCGGAAACCTTGACTATGGATTACCATCGTGGTGCAAATGTCGAGGAAATGAAGATTTCACTTTTTAGAAATAAGTTTAACATGTGATGGAGCTGAGTGCTTCTGTGCAAAATTATCTGCTTAGTTGTGTGCTGTAAAAACTAAATGCAGCCTCCTTTGCCTAAAATGCAGTTAAATTCGCAAGGGAATTCAAAGAATTAACAGCTAAGAAGAGAAAAGGAATAGCGAAGAAGCAAATAGCTAATGCTTTTTTCCTTCATACTTTTCCCGAACAGCTACTAGCCTACTATACCCAAAGACTGAAAGACTTAAATGCAACTAAATAAAGTCATAACAAAACTATAAGGGACTAAACAACAATCCCCTCTACACAGTAATAATAACTAACTCAACAACCTCTGTACTACTCTGCGAGTCCACTGTACAACTCTAGTAAACGTGTATGCATCAGTAACAGAAGATAAATTTTATGGTGTAAAGTTTTTCTATGATGAATGGTACTTCTTTAAATGAAAACTTTAAGTTGGAGGGAAGTAATACATACAGGTAAAATGGCTTATTCTAAAACTAGGTCCTAGGAAGTTGCCTACACGTACATCAGAATCGTATATTAACATGTGATATGCTTGCTAGCATTTATGATCCAAAATGAAGTTGTGTAGCTATCCGTCCAAATTAATTGTAGTGTTTCTATAGGAAAATTTGGAAAGTTCAACTTGAAACCTATTTTTTTGCTAGTTCTTGATTATGAGAAGTTGAACAAACTGCAGAATATTATGATGATGAGAGGGCATGGAATATAGGCAGCAAAGTAGCAAGTCATTTCTTTCTTTTCAATAAGATTTAGTCTGAGTTCAAATTATGTATTTTGCTCTGCCCCTTTCCACTTGTAAAAGTCAAACAGAGTCTTAAGTTGTATAGTAAGTGGTAATGTCAACTTCCATGTTTCTCATGGATTACCTTGAACTTTACAGCTCCAAATCTTTGTATGCAAGTTCGTATCACTCGGATTTTCAATACAAACGGACCTTGTATGTGTCTAGATGATGGACGTGTTGTCAGCAACTTTGTTGCCCAGGTTTGTTCTATTAGCCCGTGATATCATTTAGTTTAACTTGAGCTGGTTTTGGTATTTATTGTTATTCTAAAACCATGTTTGCAGGCCATCTGCAAGCAACGAATGACAGTATATGGTGATGGAAAGCAAACTTGAAGTTTTCAATTTGTCTCTGATCTGGTACTTCATCTTAATGAATTCTCTTCTCCCATTCCCTGTCTCTACCTTAGCATGTTACTTTTACCTATATATATATATATGGACGTCAGATGGCAGCATATTTTATTGGTTGAAGTTGGTCAATGGTAGCTATAGCCTTTAGCAGGTGTTAGTTTTCCTGAAGTGATTTATTCACTGTTAGTATGGATGGCAGTGAAATTAGCCTTGAGTTCTTTGGGACCTAAATATATATTGCCTGTGTTTTGAACTTCATATGAAAATCCTTCCGATCGTTTAGATGACAAATAACTGTAGAAGTTTTAACTCATGTTATGGGCAACTGGCTATGCTCTCCTGGATGGAACCTACGTCCTGTTCTAGCTCTGTTAAGTTTGCATCACAATATTGTGAAGTAAAATTCTAATACTGGGCAAGAGGTTCATTGAATAGAGAAAATGTTTTGCTAGATTTAAAAGATGTATTGTTCTCCCTATCAATAAACTTCAAAATTATAGTGGTTAATGCACCTCAAAATCTTAGTGACCTAGTGGTTAATGAAGCACCATGAGGTCTCAAATTCCATCTAAAGTACACTGTAGAGAATATACAAGATAGAATAATGTAAGTTCAGCTCTAGGAAAATTAAAGGTGAAGTGAGATATATGAGATTTTGGTGCCTTAATGTAGATGATTGGATATCCAGGCACAGTGATCCCAGAAAATGGCACGATATTTGCATATTTAACAGACTACCAAATAATAGGCCAGTGATGTTACGGGAGTGAAATGTCAAGCTTAAGAACAATGTTATATTAGAGCAAATATTGAACCTCTAAACTTCCAACATTTCTACAAGATAAATGTCATATGTTAAGATAAAAATGCAGTTCAAGATTGGATGAGATTTGAAATAATCACACTCCACATTGGGTGAGAGTTGCATACATGAATGATAAAATGAACGAAGTTCGCCTGAGAAGGTTTGGTTCGCTCGGTCATTAGATATGACTATATGATAGTTGGAGGCAGCAAAATGGGAATGTGATGGACCTAAAATCGCGTTGAGGGGACTTGTCTCAACAGGCTTACGAGCTATCAAAACTAATGTGGAATCTGCCAAGTGAAGCACAAATTGGAAGAAAATAATTCATATAGGCAAGTCCAGCTAGTTTTGAGATTAAAGTCATTCTTACTCCTTACATAACTCGAATGTTCATCAAAAGTTGCTTAGGTTGACTCTTTAAAGAGATAAAATCTGTTGAAGCAATCCGTGTATTTTCATGCTAGGGATCATAATTTTTGTCGTGGATGAGTTTATTTCTTCAGGAAAAAGGAAACCAAACTACAACAAAAGGAGTGTTTTCTCACTTTTTCCCCTTTTAAGGGTGTGGGGTGGGGTGGGGGTGGGGGGAGTGAGAAGGTTAAAGAGCATGTTGAAAATGACCCTTGTGTTTCCTTTACTTTTTCACCTGTACTGAGTCTATCTGTATTATATAATATAGTTGTGTATCCCAGAGCCGTAAGAGCCAATATTCACAGGGCAAGGGTACTTAGGCATGATTCCAACAGTCTAAAAGTGTAAAATATGTACAGACATGCTCAAATCATCAATGATGTGTCTTCAACATTCCTTGTGAAAAAAATGATGCATCTTTGACGTTACCAGTGGATGTGGTTTGACATTACCAGTGGATGTGGTTTGTGTATTTCCATGTTTCTGATGCATTTGTTTTTGAATTTTTAGAAATTTCTATGTTTCATGTTATTTGTATGGTTTCGATTAGTCTCATTAATTATCAGAGCTTAGAAATAATTTGCTACTTGTGTTGGTGAGTTCAATACTAGACTGTATCGTCTTTACCTCTCTCTATATAAATTCTTTTTTGCAGCAAGGTAAGGAATCAACAGAGCTTTCAAGGGGAGCTCTGTGTCAGGACCATTTTTTTGCCATTGTTTTCATATTCAGCAGCCAATGTGTCTTATAGTACTGGCCTTTTGTTGCTGACATTTCCGGACACATTGTCATTGCTCGATCAGGTTAGATTAGAACAGCAAAAGATGGTTCTGTCTAAGCTAGGGCCTCTGTGAACTAGAGATATTAATGCTTTTCATGAATTATTGACGCAGGTGTTTAGAAGCTCAGTAGCACCATTCACCATAATGCTGGTTACATTTATTTCCAATCAAGTTACACCACTAACTTGGGATCTTGGTAGACAAGCAGTTGTGCATTATTTGGAATGGCATCCCAGGCTGGTTTCATTATGTGACGATCAGAGTTATTTCCATTGTCCCAGCCATTTATTGTGTATGGAATTCAGGAGCTGAAGGCCTATATCAGTTGCTAATATTAACACAGGTTGTGGTGGCGCTAGTGCTTCCATCTTCTGTCATACCCCTGTTCAGAGTTGCTTCTTCAGAGATTAACTATGGGTATTCACAAAATTTCTCAGTTAATGGAGTTCTTATCTCTTGGCACATTTATCGGCTTATTTGTCATAGAGATGATATTTGGAAATAGTGATTGGGTTAATAATTTTAAGTGGAGTATTGGGGGAGTAGTGTGTCTACTCCATATGTTTTTCTCCTCATTGCAGCCTCTTTGATCTCTTTGTCTCATGCTGTGGTTAGCAGTTACTCCACTGAAATCTGCAAGTTCCAGGTTCGATGCTCAGGCATTCTGCAAACGCCTATGCCTGAGCCATATTTGGAGTGTAATCAACTTGGTTTGGTCTAGTAGAAGGGTCCTCCCAAAAGCAAGAAGGTGCATTTCATGTGGAAAAATCCTTGGTAAGCCATCCATATTTATCAACTAAAGATCCTGATCAACTCTTGCCAGAATCACTCTTGAATTTTGAAAAGGTCCATCATTTGGCTACTATTGATGAGGGTAAATCTGAAACAACATACTCAGCTCCTGCTGTTGGTCATCCTGAGGTATCTGTATCAGCAGGAGCAAGTTCCGGTGTGAAAAGTGTTTGTAATGAGGTGTCTGGTGTTGTATCTGTGGATACCAGTGTCTTCAATACTGAATCTGTGGATGTCGTAGAGATAACTCTTAGCAAATGACAGGGATGATGGAGATTCGTGGGAGGAGCCTGAAGAGGCAATCAGAGAGAACACTCAATCTTTTATTTCTGATGGTCCAGGGTCATACAAAAGTCTAAGTGAAAAACTAGAGGACACGGGGATTGTTACGGGAAGTCTACCAAGATTAGCAGGTCTTGATAGGTAGTTATCAGAAGTTCTAAATGAGTTTTGGTGGCAGCTTTTTGGTTACCATGGTATGCATGGCCACAGCAGAAGCGAAGTCCAAAAAACTGGATATAATACTTGGTCTGGACTCATTGGTGAATCCAAAACCTGCCCGTCCATCACTAAAAGTGGAAAGCAGTGGGTATATTCCATCGGGGAGTGCAAGGATACCAGAGTTTCTGATCAACTTGCTTATGTACTCCCCCAAGTAGCAATTTGCATCAAGCATTGTGGACTCATCTTCGACATCTTCTATATGGTCTAACCATATGAAACTAGTAGGTGCGTACGTGCAAAGTTCCAACTGCAACATACTTGACTCATGGGAGAGGCGCTATTCTAGTATGCGGATTCCAGCGACTTCTGCTGGCTATGATCAGCAGCCTGCCACTGTGCATGGATATCAGATTACTGCTTACCTTAATCAACTTGCAATAGAAAGAGGATCTGATTATTTTAATGGGCAACTGGAGTCACCATCTCCTCGTTCTGTATCATCACTGACGTCAAACTATGCCGAGCCATTGTCTCGTGCTTCGGGGCAAAAACCTCATAGTGGAGTCAGTAGTCCGGCACCACCTGGTTTGGAAATGTCCCTGTAGCCCGAAATAATTTGATGCAGCCCAATAACACTTCTGTCGACCTTAGCTCTACTGAAACTGCTGAAAGCGTGGCTGGCTCAGCCAACTCTAAGAAGTACTACAGCTTGCCTGATATCTCAGGGCGCGATGTTCCTCGCGAAGATTCTTAGTCTTAGATGGGAGAGCTCAATGGTACAATTCCATGGGATTTGGACAATCTGGTGGTCGATCTACATACGAGCAAGCCTATATGTGTGGTTCACTTAGGGCAGGTGGTCCTCAGAGGTATGAACAGTCTCCTAAAGTCTGCAGAGATGCGTTCTCCTTGCAGTACAGCTCCAATTCAGGGACTGGATCGCTGTGTTCTAGACAGCCTTTTGAGCAATTTGGTGTAGCTGGTAAGCTAGATGTTGGTAGCGGCGATCATGGAACTGTGCAGAGTTCATCTGCTCAAGAGAGTACATCTACGGTTGACTTGGAAGCTAAGCTGCTTGAGTCTTTCAGAAGTTGTATTGTGAAAATGCACGACTGCAGCAATGCTCTTAGAGATGATCAAAGATACGGAGACGGCAATTTCCTGTCGAAAGGGATGAATGGGCACTGCAGCAGGAGATTTAGCCTTTCCTAAAGGAAAAGAGAACCTGGCATCCGTCCTCAAGCGCTATAAACGTCGACTATCCAATAAGCCAGTAGGAAACCAGGAGTTGGCTGGAATTAGTGGACTACGCAAACTAATGTTGTCGGCCTCATCACCCCTTTCGTCTTGTAATGCTCTTTTCTCAGTTCATAGCAAATGACTGGTGAGATCACCATTGTTCTTAGTTTCTGTGAATTAATTCCCTCCCCAACTACATCCCTTGTACCTCATGTGTATTTGAATCTTTGCAGCTTATTCACCCCACCTCTTGTACCTCAATCTGTATAAATAGGATAAAATGTTGTAACGAGGTTACTGTAAAACTGCAATGGTGGAATGAAAAGATGTTATTATAAGACATGCAGTTCTCTTCCTTTTTCTTTCCATAGTGCTATCTATGTTGAACCAATGGAAACAACATCTAGCTCTGAATTACTTTTAATATCAAAAGGCCGTTGTCTATTACTACTGAGTTACTTTTAATATCAAAAGGTTGTATTTCCTAGGATCTATTGAAAATCATGTAACCTTTATGTGGGGTTATGTGTTTTTGTATTGTATATTACTACTTCCTTTTTATGTGGTGGGACTGTTAGTTGTAGTTTGCACTTGGCTGCCGTATAAGTTAAAACTTTACGAACTCTACCTTCTTTTTTTTTCGTGGTCTCATGATTCGCATCGTGCAAGGTCAAATATAAAAGGAAAAGTGTTACCTAACAGGTGTTTTTTTACATAAGATTTGAACTCGTTACATTTGGTGAAGAGATTTTAGTCATTCGATCATAACTCTTTATTGGTTAATAGAGGAGAATTACACAACAATATTTCCCTCCATTCTATTTTTGTGTCATAGATCATTGAAACTGTGTTCTTAAAACTAATTTTTTGTTTTTTTTTAGCTCTATGACCTAATTGCATTAAAAATGATTATAAAGATCAAAGAGGATGAATGTGAATGGCTAGAAGAGGACAATCATATTCCTATAAAGAATTTTCTTATCCTCATCGCTTTAGTTGAAATTATTGTCATCATTATAGGTTCAATAAAAACTTAATTGTTTTTAAAATATATATATATATATATATATATATATATATATAAATCATCTATTTTGGAAAATTAGTAAATTATTCTATTTTATATTTCAAATTTTATATATTTAAATTCTAAATTTACTTCTATCTACACTACTTAATATCTAAGAGTAGGATTTAATCATCATAAATTATTATTGTGTGATTTGATATTTAGGACATCAAAATATTAGACCACAATCGAAGATGAGATAATAACAATGTAATTTGGTGGTTGATAGTTCACCCGCAATTCTTAATCAAAGACTTTTAAAAAAAAAATTATTAAAATTTGATTAATCGAATCGATGAATTATTTTTAAAAAAGTTAAATATTGTATTGTGGTCTGACATTAGAATTAAAATTCATTTCAATTAAGTCATGAAGCCATTAGCAATGCCTTGCTCATTCTTTCGTCCCGAAAATTCGGGGAAATTCTGAAGTTTGAAGCCATTAGCAATGCCTTGTTCACCTTTCGTCCCAAAAATTCTGGGAATTCTGAAGGTCAAAATTTGAAGCCATTAACAATGCCTTGCTCATTCTTTCGTCCTGAAAATTCTGAGAAATTCTGAAGTTTGAAGCCATTAGCAATACCTTACTCACCCTTTCGTCCCAAAAATTCTGGGAAATCTCAAGCCGATTTAGTCAAATTTTGAAGTCATTAGCAATGGCTTGCGAACTTTGTAAATCACTGGATGTGTAGCTCTTTGTATTTTTGAAAAATATTATGTAGCAGAATCACTCGATACAATGGTCAGTCATTACGGGTATAACATGTTGAAAGAAGTAGTAACAAAAAAACATGCGAGTGACCCTTGGATTTGGAGCTTTGGATACGTATCAGAATAGTAGATATTGAAAAAACTAATTTCTTATTTCATATTCGATTACTCGTACTAAAATTTAATTAATCATGATATCAATTAATATCACATAAGATTCTATTGAGAAAAGAAAAGTATTCTTATTAAAAAAATTCTAAACCCGATAGTGTTCTTATATATGGACGGAGAATGTTAGACATAAATTCTTTTTTCTGGAATGTTCCTTAGTAAAAAAAAAGGTTCCCTCTATAGGTTCATACCTTCCTTTCGTTCCAAACTGTTCATACATTCCTTTCGTCCCAAAAATTCTGGGGAAATTCTGAATCCGATTAAGTAAAATTCTGAAGCCATTAGAAATGCCTCCATGCGAACTTTGAGCATTGTAAAACTCCTTGTATCTTTGGAAAATATTTTGTACCAGAAACAATCGAGTTGATGGTTAATCATTACGGCTATGAGTTGTTGAAAGAAGTATTAGAACAAACACATGAGAGTGACCCTATGCATTTGCAGCTTTGTGTCACGGACTTAGAGTATTTGCTAAAACCCCATGCGGCACTTGACAACTTACTCACGATTCTTTCACGATCTCCCTTTAAACTCGGAACGCTAAGATAATATGAAGAAAGACAAAGAAAGACTTTGGAAGAGAGGACTTGTATTAGCGAGAACTTTGCTTACAACTTTGGTTGGTTTGTTGGATGATTACAAATGAGAGGCCCTTCTATTTATACTACTCCCTAAGGGCCTAAGAGTAAATAAATATTGTTCTACAAGTCCCTAAGTAATTACACTTTAGTATATGTTCTAGAGAATTCTACCCTCTCTAGAATATGTCTCTAGCTCTTCCAAAAGGCTCTAAAACGTTCTAGAGAATTCTAGGGAATTCTCTAGTCTTCTCCAAGGATCTAGAAGGGTCTAGAGTCTTCTACAAACCTCTTCAAGGCTCTAGGTCCTTCTGCCCCGTTCGGATGCTGCAAAATGGCCAGAATTATGGCGGGCTATCACACTCTCCCCCACCTAATGATGCGGCGACCGCTACGCATTACTGCAAGAATTTGGACTTTGTCCTTGAATTGCCACAAGTCTTCGTACTTCTCCCAAGTGGCTTCTTCAGGAGTTTGTCCCTTCCAATGTATAAGGAACATGGCGCTGGCTTGTTGTCCTCGTTTCTGTTTGGCTTGATAATCTATGATGGCTCCTATTTCTCGGTCGTGTGAGGTAGTGATAGTGATAGGGGCCCGTTGCGATTCGTTCCGGCTAGGATCATCCTTATCTTCATGATACGGCTTAAGGACACTTGCATGAAAGACCGGGTGGATCTTCAAGTGTGGAGGTAACTCCAACTTGTATGAGATTTT